CAAAAAAGAAAAAATGTTTACACAACTCTGAATGGTTTAGTGTTTTTTGATGAGGCACCAGGCAACCCCTTTTAAGTTGCAGTAGGATGGGTCTCCACCAGTTTTGTTGCCACATCAGAGCACCTCCCCTGAGCGCCGGTGGCATCTTCTCTCTCTATAATACTTGGAAGTTACGAGTGATGATGGGGGGGTGTTGTGTGTTGTGCTGTCTGTGATTTCACCCCTCATGTCTGCAGCAATTTGCTCCCTGAATCAGAAGAATTGCAGAGGGAGGCTGCGGTTAGGACTTGGTGGCAGACATCCGGCGCGTAGCTTTGATGTTGATGGCTCAGGGGCTTGTTCTCTTGATGTCTCTCTGTTTCTGTGTTTATGAGGCGATGTTGATGGCTGTGTTCCAGAAGCCATTTTGTTTCTGTTCTCTCTCTGTGAAAACAAATGTGGAAAAAACAAAATCGATTACTTCACTGGCTTATTCTTTCAACAATGAACGTCAAATCAAAATAATTCCTCCATTTAGCGTGTGTGAAATAACAGTATAACCATATTATATATCTGGGTTATTTATACAATACAGCTTATTTATATTACTGGTCTTCGGTGTTATAATCACGAAAGTACAATGATCTATTGGATAATGTTCACCAACCACGTATTTCCCATTGTTTTCGTTTTTCTCACAGTACAATGTTCTGTAGAACTACAAACAGAATCCATTTGGCGTGTGGTGTTTATACCTTAATTTCGGACTAATAGCCGCTGTCTTCTTTTCCATTTCGCCCTGCGGCTTTATATAACGGATGCGGCTATAATCTTTGGATTTTACCGCTAACGGACCACTTATGTTGGGACCTCGCTAAATCTATTGATTTTCACAGGTTAACTTAAGTCCACCACCTTTAACTCTATGCGTCTATGGCCGGTTCTCTCTGTTTGTCCCCACCTTTAAGCGGCCTGCCATCAGGAAAAGCTGTTCTGGTGTCCCGGAAATAATGAACAGGTAGCGTGCAAAAGTAAAAAGTCTCTTGATTATTGTACGAAGACACGTAACGAGAGCTAGATCAGACAGACATATCGAGATTGCTGTGTTCTGTTGTCCCCTCCACTGTTAAAACCACTGCTGTAGATCACTGCCAGTACAGTGCGCTGTGTGTTGCGCAGCCGTTTAAGGTTTGAAAGTTGAAAAGTTGTGTGTTCTGCAAACGCTATGTGGATACAGTACAGTTTACACAGCACAGTACATGTTCTGTAGTTACTATTGCACTCAAATAATACACACTTGGAATACGTTATGCAAAGTATGAACTTGTTGTTGGGAAATGTTAATAAATGGAGAACTTCCTCAAACAGCCATCTCTTTCCCGACAATCCCCTCTGTGCACGAACCCTTACATATAGTAATTAATACATTAAAACACCTGCCGGCTTATGAGTCCAGTGCGGCCCTTATATATGTACAAACATCAATTCAATGTAGCTGCTGCGGCTTATATTCAGGTGCGCTTCTTAGGTAGCCCGAAAATTACGGGAATATACAGTGGGCAAAAAAGTATTTAGTCAGCCACCAATTGTGCAAGTCTCCCACTTCAAAAAGCATGAGAAGAGGCCTGTAATTTTCATCACTTAGGTATACGCTCAACTATGAGAGATCAGAATGAGAAAAAAAAAAAAGAATTAAAAAAAGAATTTTATTTGCGGAAATTATGATGAGAAAATAGTTATTTGTTGAAGTAACAAAAAGTTCATCTGCAGATTTACTTTGTTATATACCCTTTGCTTTGTTGGCAATGACAGAGGTCAAAACCTTTTCTGTAAGTCTTCACAAGTTTTTCACACACTGTTGCTGGTATTTTGGCCCATTCCTCCATTGCAGATCTCCTCTGAGAGCATGTGATGTTTTGGGGCTGTCGCTGGGCAACACGGACTTTCAAACTCCCTCCAAGATTTTCTATGGTATTTGACTCTGGAGTTTAGGTGTTCTAGCCCACTCCAGGACCTTGAAAAATCTTCTGCGAAGCTAACTCTTACATTTTTCCGGATGGGATGTCATTTGGTATTCATTGTCATGGCTGGAATACCAGCTCACTTTTGCATTCGTTTCAGACAATGCACGTCCTTGCTGTATGGATTATGGGGAGGTTTGTCACTCACAATCTCACGATATATTATGAACCTCATTTCATGTTTTCCTTTATGCGGATCTGTAGTTCTGATCACTACAGACCACCCAGTGGCCAAAGGCAGTGACTGATTGCACCTTGACACATTCATAGGAGTTCACGAGTAGGCCTGGTCGATGGTGTTGCTGTGGATTGCCAGTTCAGCATACTTCCTCCTGCGTGTCAAACAGTGCGTATCGGTCCTGCATACCTTTTACTTACACGGACAGCTCGTCCTTTGGTGTCAGTCCAAGTGCGATGTGTCATCCTTCCTCAGTAGATGTGTTGCTTGGATGCAGTCCTGATTCTTTGTTCTCACTAGCGTTTGCTGACGGTGCTGTCACTCTGGTTAGCAGGTGACCATAGACAGTCTCAGCCTCTTCTGGATCTTTCTAATGCCGCTGAAACTGCGGTCGGTATCCTGGCTAATGACACGGTTGCACCGCGGGCTTTGAACTCACTTCCCAGGAGCTCTTGCTGCGTGTTTCAGCCTTCAGACTTTCGGGGAAATATTCATCCCACACGACATCAATTCTGCTGACATGCTCCAGCTGAGACAGGATGTATGGTGAGAACGCTTTCTGCGCATAATAAAAAAACGTCTTAGCAGCACCAGGTCGTAGCATGTTCACAAGAGCAGCCCCATCAAGGATGAGGCATTAACTGTGTGGTGGGATGCATTCTCTTGTAAAGAAATCAGGTCCTCCAAACAGCCCACCAAGTCTGACTTGGTACCACTTCTGAGTTTGCCCATTTGTGACAATGATGATGGACATGCCTGGTTTTCAAGTTTATTATATTTCACGTAATTAATCCCAAAAAACTCATCCAGACTTCCATCACGTGTCTCAGATACAATGTACAGCCTAGAGAACAGAGAACAGTCATTCTTCAGAGATGAGAGCTGTTGTTGGGACCTGGACTTATCTTGGACTGGAGGCTGGCTGAATAGAGGGAGGGTTTTACTTTTAATGGGATCTTTGATGGGCTTTTTTTGTTCGACCAGGCGCTCACTGACATACAGTGGAGGAAATAAGTATTTGATCCCTTGCAGATGTTGTAAGTTTGCCCACTTACAAATAAATGAACAGTCTATAATTGTAATGGTAGGTTTGATTTATCAGTGAGAGTAAGAATATCAAAAAGAAAATCCAGAAATGTACATTATATAAAAGATACAATTTGATATGCATTAAACTGTGGGAAATAAGTATTTGATCCCTTTGCAAAACATGTGTTAGTACTTGGTGGAGAAACCCTTGTTGGACACACAGAGGTCAGACACTTCTTGTAGTTGGTCTCCAGGTTTGTGCACATCTCAGGAAGGATTTTGGTCCACTCCGCTCTGAAGATCCTCTCCAAATCCTTAAGGTGTTGAGGCTGATTCTTGGCATCTCAAAACTTCAGCTCCCTCCACAGATTTTCTATGGGATTAAGGTCTGGAGACTGGCTAGGCCCATCCATCACCTAAATGTGCTTCTTCTTTAGCAGCTCCTGTGTTGCCTTGGCCGTATGTTCAGGTGTATTGTCCTGCTGGAAGACCCATCCATGACCCTTTTCAGTGTCCTGGCTGAGGGAAGGAGGCTATTGGCCAAGATGTTACAGTACATGGCCCTGTCCATCCTCTCCTCGATGCAGGGAAGTCGTCCTGTCCCCTTAGCAGAGAAACACCCCAAAATTATAATGTTTCCACCTCCATTTTGGTCTCATCTGACCACATCACCTTCTACCAAGCCTTCTCTTAATCATTCAGATGTTCATTGTCAAATTTCAGAAGGGCCTTTCATGTTCTTCTTGAGCAGGGGACCTTGCGGGCGCTGCAGGGTTTGATCCATTATGGTGTAGTGTGTTACCAATAGTTTCTTGGGTCTGTGGTCCCAGCTGCCTTGAGATCATTAACAAGTTCCTCCCTTGTAGTTCTTGGCTGATACCTCACCTTTCTCATGATCATCAATACCCCAAGGGGCGAGATCTTGTGTGGATTCCCAGACCGAGGGGGATTGATTGTTGATTGATGTCCATTTTTTTCCCTTCCATTTCCGAATAATCGCACCAACAGTTGTCACCTTCTCCCCAAGCTGCTTGCTGATGGTTTTGTAGCCAACCCCAGCCAAGTGCAGGTCTACAGTCTGGTCCCTGAGGTCCTTAGACAGCTCTTTAGTCTTGCCCATGGTGGAGAGGTTGGAATCTGATTGATTGATTCTGTGGACTGGTGTCTTTTATACAGGTAACAAGTTGATATGAGGGATACTTTCCTAAAGGAAGTGGACTTATGTAACCGGTCTGTGGGAGCCAGAATCCTTGGCTAGGGGATCAAATACTTATATCCCACAGTTAAATGCAAATAATTGTTTATCTTTTATATAATTTCATTTTCTGGTTTTTCTTTTTGATATTCTTACTCTCACTGTTAAAATAAACCGTACCATTCAAATTATAGACTGTTCATTTCTTTGTAAGTGGGTGAATTTACAAAATCGGCAAGGGATCAAATACTTATTTCCTCCACTGTAGGTGTCATACCCGTCCTGTCCGAGTTTCTCAATCTGGTTCAGAGTGTCAATGACTGCTGCATTTGCAAGGTCTCTAGTATCCAGTACAAGGAGATATTCACTGCTTATTTCACAGAATGGATTGCCCATGTCTTATGTAGCACCAGTTAGTGCTTTAACATCTTGTGCAAATGCCATTTGTGCATGTTTGGTCTGCTCATGGTGCCGGGTGTCAGTCTGCAAACTCCCCAACCACACATGCCATCTCGGGGCCAGACACCATCCAGCATCGCAGAGCTGCAGGGTTCTCTGTCAGGCCTACAGCCCCACCATCACCTTTCACAGAGGCATTGTTCTGCTCGTGGGCCTGGTCAATGACAATAGCAGAGAAGCTGCGTGTCGTCTTCTTCACAGCAAAGTTTCCTTTCAGAAACTGTTGATGGACATCAGGATGGTTATCTTTTAGCACAATCATGTCACGTAAGTGGACTGGTATCCATCCGGCCTATTGGGTGTGTCCCAGGGAAAGGACCCTTCAGGTCACCCTTGAAAAAGAGATCAATGATCTCAATGGGATTCACCTGCATAAATAAAGGTTTGAAATGAAATGAAATGAACCAAGGCACCATCTTGGTCAAGGCATTTATGTAGAGTAGGAAGTCGGCCTCTCTTATTGATCGCACATAGATCATCAACTCTATTTCCAGCTGCAGGATGATAGACCAGAAGTGGAACTGGGAACATGACACTGCTCTTGTCCACCTGCTACCCCTCCAGGAGGTCGCCAAGTACCTTGAGTGCTGCCATCTCAATGTGAAACCCAACAAACATCACAATAAAATGTCTGTGAGTTGCTGGCCAGCTCCACTGGGTTTGTTTTGCCACAGCGTATAGAGGTTGATCCAGAGTGATCTGACCAGGATTCAGAATCCCTTCAGTGGTCGATAATGAGTACTTTTAATACATTATGTATCGGTGCCGGGACGTGGGGTGCAGTTGATAACCTTGCCCCCCCCTACCTCTGTGACCTCATCCAACGACACACCCCCACCCGTCGCCTCAGGTCTGCTGAAGCTAACCTACTGCAGCCCATCAGGACAAAGCTCCGGACCCTCACTCTGGAACCCCCTCCCCAGCCACGTCAGATCCGCCAACACTCTCACATCATTCAAACAATCCCTCAAAACTCACCTTTTCACTCTTGCCTTCAACTCCTTATCCACTAACCCCTTTCCCTTATTCCTCCTAGCTTAGCACT